CAGGATTAAATTACAGATGGTCTAACCATGTTAGGAAGATGTATGGTGCTGATACCATTATCCCTCCCACCTGTGTTTGGACACTTTGTAAATAAGTGGTTCCAAATAATAAAAAGGTGACATTTTGTGGATAGAGGGAGTCTTGGGCTATGTCTATATTGCATGATTTTGCACAAGAACTCTTTTGCGGAAGAGTTCTTGTGCAAAAACTCTTCCAGAAGCGAGCGTCTACACTGGCATGTGCCTTTGTGCAAGAGATGTGCTTTTGCGCAAGTGCATCCTTGCCAGTGTAGACGCTCTCTTGCACAAGAAAGCTCTGATGGCCATTTTAACTCATAGACTCATAGACTTTAAGGTCAGAAGGGACCATTATGATCATCTAGTCTGACCCCCTGCACAGTGCAGGCCACAGAATCTCGCCCACCCCTCTTAGAATAATCCTCTCACCTATGTCTCAGATATTGAAGCCTTCAAATACTTTGAAGGCCCCAACATGCAGAGAGTCCTTCAGCTGTGATCTGTGCCCAATGCTACAGAGGAAGGCGAAAAACCTCCAGGGCCTCTGCCAATCTACCCTGGAGGAAAATTCCTTCCTGACCCCAAATATGGCGATCAGCTAAACCCTGAGCATGTGGGCAAGACTCACCAGCCAGACACCCAGAAAGTTCCCTATAATGAATGGTCAATTAGTTACCAAGATCATGTTATTTCATCCAACCATCCCCTTATCATAGAATCATAGAATTACTTACTCCCGCAAGTAATTCATGTTGCCTGTCTACACTGGCCTCTTGCGCAAGAACAGTTGCGCAAGAGGGCTTATTCCTGAGCGGGAGCATCATAGTTCTTGCTCAAGCAGCACTGATTTCATACATTAGAACGTCAGTGTTCTTGCACAAGAACTAGCGGCCAGTGTAGACAGGCAGCAAGTTTTGGCGCAAAAGCGGTTGCTTTTGTGCAAGATCGCACCAATGTTGACACAGCCTTGGGGTCCATTGCCAGTTGTGCCACCAGCCTGCTGTGTGGTCTTGGACAAATCATTTCCTCTCCATGTTTCTATTTCCTTAGCCTTTGTCTTGCCTATTTAGATTGAGCTCTTCAACACAAGGACTCGCACTAAGTATAGACGTGCCCTGAAAGATCAACGCTCTGGAGGTTGATCTTCTGGCATTTGATTTAGTGGGTCTAGTATAGACCATAAATCAAACACTGAGGGCAGCCCCTGTCAGTATCTGGTGCTACTCCTTTTGCAGCCCCCATTGGCCTCCTACTTTGTGGATTCCACCAAGGCTTGGCTAAAGGTAAGTTGACTCCAGCTACACATTTTGTATAACTGGAGTTGTGTGCCTTAAGTCAACCTTCCTGATCTAGTCTAGTATAGACCAGGCCTCCATCATTATTTCTCTGTATAGCATCTGGCACCCTGGTATGGTTGCTAGGTTCTTCTGTTGAATACATGAAATGCTAATTTCACCCTGACATCAAACATAAGAATTGGATGCCTGGTTATTGAAATGAAAACCTGCGGCATGCCGATGCAGCCATAGGGCATTTGGATAGCACAGAGCATAGCCTTACATTTCGACATACATATGCTATCTCCTTGATGTTTTTTTCTTGCACGGCCTTTCCTACATATCAGTGTTGAAAAACTGTGCCCCAGTAACTTGCTATCTGAATATCACACAAAGTGGCAAGGCCAAGTCCTCAGATGATATAAAATGGTGTAGTATCATTGAAGCCAATGGACATATACCCATCAATAGCAGCTGACAGTGTAGACCTAGATCATGAAAGAAATTAATGGGAGGTAATTGTCTAAAAATCAATGGTAGAACACAGTTTGTAGCATTTCTCAAATTTATTCACATTTTTACACAGGTCTCTGTCTAGCAAATTCTTAGCAGAATAGATCCAAACACTCACAGATGTATTATTGACTTTAAATAGAATTGAGTGTAGAAAGATAGCTTCTATGCATCTGTAATATTTCAAGACCAGTGCTAAAGGCAGGAACAGAACATGGCCATTGTAACTGAGAGCTAATGCCAGGATTTTTAAAAAGGCACCTCAGGCTATGTCTACACTGCACGCTTATTTTGAAATAATGTGAGTTATTTTAAAACAACAGAGTGCGCGTCTACATAGCAAGCCCGTTATTTCACAATAAATTTGAAATATCGAGCTTCTTATTCCAACTTCTGTAACCCTCATTTCCTGAGTGTAAAGGGAAGAGAAGTGGGGGAATCCAGTGGATATAGTATACTTAGATTTCCAGAAAGCCTTTGACAAGGTCCTTCACCAAAGGCTCTTAGGTAAAGTAAGCTATCCTGGGATAAGAGGGAAGGTCTTTTCGTGGATTGATAACTGGTTAAGAGACAGGAAACAAAGGGTAGGAAAAATAGTTTTCAGAGTGGAGAGATGTAACTAGTGGGGTCCTCCAAGGGTCTGTCCTGGGACCCATCCTATTCAACTTATTTATAAATGATCTAGAGAAAGGGGTAAACAATGAGGTGTCAAAATTTGCAGATGATACCAAACTGCTCAAGACAGTTGAGACCAAAGCAGACTGAAGAGCTTCAAAAAGATCTCACCCAAACTAAGTGACTGGGCAACAAAATGGCAAATGAAATTTAATGCTGATAAATGTAAAGTAATGCACACTGGAAAAAACAACCCAACTATATATACACATTATATGATGGGGACTCATTTGGTTACAACTACTCAAGAGAGAGATCTTAGAGTCATTGTGAATAGCTCTCTGAAAACATCCACTCAGTGTGCAATGGCAGTCAAAAAGCAAATAGAATGTTAGGAGTCATTAAAAAGGGATAGAGAATAAGACAGAAAATATCTTATTGCCTCTATATAAACTGATGGTATGCCCATATCCTGAATACTGTTTACATATGTTGTCGCCTGATCTCAAAAAAGATATTTTGGCATTGGAAAAGGTTCAGAAAAGGGCAACAAAACTGATGAGGGGTTTGGAACAGGTCCCATATGAAGAGAGATTAAAAAGACTTGGACTTTTCAGCTTAGAAAAGAGGAGACTAAGGGGGATATGATAGCGGTCTATACAATCATGACTGGTATAGAAAAAAGTGAATATTGAAAAGTTATTTATTTATTCCCACAATAAAAGAACTAGGGGTCACCAAAATAAATTAATAGGCAGCAGATTTAAAACAAACAAAATGAAGATTTTCTTTACTCAGTGCATAGTCAACCTGTGGAACTCCTTGCCAGAGGATGCAGTGAAGGCTAGAACTTTAATAGGGTTCAAAAAAGAGATAGATATATTCATGGAGGTTAGGTCCATCAATGGCTATTAGCCAGGATGGGTAGGAATGATATCCCTAGCCTCTGTTTCTCTGGAAGTGCATGACAAGGGAGGGATCACGTGAAGATTACCTGTTGTGATACCTCTCTCTGGGCATCTGGTATTGGCCACTGTCAACAGACAGGATACTGAGCTAGATGGACCTTTCGTCTGAACCAGTATGGTCGTTCATATGGTCTTATGAAGCAAGAGTGTTCTTCCTTCGACTTCCTACTGCATAGACAGTGCCAAAAGCTACTTCAAATTCAGGTAGGCAATTAACATAGCTGAAGTTGTGTATCTTAACTCTACTTTAGCCCGCAGTGTAGACATACCCTAAGAGAGTTAGGCACCCAACTGCCACTGAATTTCAATAGAAGGTAGGCACGAGGGTAAAGAAAGAAACAGATATTGCAAATACTAGACAGTTCTTCATAAAACACATTTATTGAGTAACTTGACTCTGCTCCAAAGATGATGCTGTTTCCTTTGATTTTAAATGTTTATTTGTTCTGAAGTCATCTGTCAGAAAAGGTGATTTTGTCTACTAGCAAAACCTTTGCTTTTTTCTTCCTAAATTAAGCATCCTTGGATTTTAATAAATGAGCCTGTTTATTTATGCCTTATTAAAATGTTTGTTTTGCAGATGTTGCTCACTCTTGGCCCTCATTGGGGGCAAAGAGGCCTATGAGAACTTGCCTTTTGTGTATAGTTGGACTATAAAAATTATTATTTTTTGTCATAATCCAAAACAGCTTTGTTTTATTTACCAAATAAAATCCTTTTGAAAAGGTTGGCCTTTAGCTCATCCCTGTTACTGCATTTTATTCTTACCCAACTTCCATTAAAAAGGAAAAAAATTGGCATTTGGTAGAATAAGATTAGATAGATAGTGCTGACTCTTTCTTCTGAAGCCATATTAAAACTTAACCTGGCATGGTGCTGGGAAGAACAATCCTGCTGCCTTTATTCAGTTATGATGGAAGAACTGAGCTCCTGATTATGTGAGTCTAATGAAGAAAGTTTTGCCAAAGTTGGGTCAAAGTTCTAATACAAAATTCACGTCTAAATCAAAAACAAATTTATGACTTTCAAAAGTAGTACTAATAATAACGATCTTTAATTTTAATCTAGCTTTTTATCTATTAATCTCAAAGCTCATGATGAATTCGTTGATATTTTAAGCAAGGAAACAAGCAAAAAATCCATTTTCCCTTTTCCACACATGGGGAGTAGGAGGAGAGCAAAGTGATGGCACCTGGTTTTAGCAGTGTTACTGAGCATGTTCAGTCACCGTATAAGACAAACTACACAATAGGGTGATCAGGTAGAGAGCCTCATTGCTCCTGGTTTCTTCCACATTGTGAAAGCTCCCTTATGTGAGTACTGGGCTTCCGCCCAACTATCCAAGTATCCCTCCTCTTCTTTGCTTGCCAGCTAGAACTCTCCCAACCAACACTCTCTTGCTGCAGTCTCTACTTCTGGCTCCCAATACCATTCACTCTCCCAGGTTCAAAATATCCGTATGGTGCTTAGCTGGGAAAGCTATATGATTAAACAGGTTTCCTCAAAATATTACAGAGACTATGCCCCAAGCTCTTATGTGGTTATTTACACTAGGAAATAGGGACATTCTGGTTTCATTTTTAACACTTGTTCCTATGCATTATCTTACCTGTGATACAAACACCATGGCATTGCACAAGGATATGCCCCGATTCGTTTCACTACTGCTTCTGGCTGGGGCTTCCCTTTCCTTCCATCTCTTGATATACATGCTTATTGTGCACCTGAAAGAAAGTTTTTCACTGACAGTTTATCCTTGGTGAGCCTATTTTGTCCATGTAGAGACTTACAATACAGTCAGATCTGATCCCACTGTTGACTGAGTCCCACTGGGCTACTCGTAAGCAGCAGGAGGGGAGGCAAAAGTCTCAGAAGTCTTCTATTGAAATGAAGGCCATTGCCCACGGTCATCAATTGCTTCTCAGTTAACTATGATCAAGATTTTGCAAAGTACATACCATGACTTCAGCAAACTCTGTTCAGTACCATTGTCAATCATGAGCTGATTGGCCCTCAGTGTGAAATTTTGACTGTATATGCATCTTCCCAGGTGGGATGAGATTTGAAACTGGTAGGGTATGTCTAGACTACATGTTGTTGTTTTTTTTTAAACAGCCCTTTTTTCGAAAAAACTTCACCTGCATCTACACTGCAATCACGTTCTTTCGAAATTAAATCAAAAGAACGCAGAGGTTTTTTTGACATTGGTAAACCTAAAATTAAGAGAAAGAATGCCTTTTTCTAAAGAGCTCCTTCGAAAAAAGGTGTGTGTGGGCACAGAACAGGGACATTTTTTAAAGAGGCAGCAATCGAAAAAAGCACAGGTGCCCTGGTGGCCATTCTGTGAATAGCAATCAGGGCTTCATTCAAGAGAGCATCCATGCAGTCTGGACGACATGCTTAAAGGACAATGCCTGCTGTGGCTGGATCCCCTTACCACTAATGTATAGCCATTCCAGATCCCTATTCATTTTTACATATCCCACAGGGATTTTAGGTGGGAAAAAGTCAGGTCTGTTTTTCAGAAGACATTTAATGTATGCCGATAAGCATCAATCTTTTCTGCAAGAGTAAGAGGAAGACTCTGAAAGTTTGGCTGTTTAACCATGTTTGCCAAGAATATTTTATTGAAGACAATAGAAGACACAAATATTTGGGAAGCTGGGAAACTGGCCTGGATACTTTGCTTTTCCCAGTCCTCCACTTTTTTTTTCCATATTCAGATCAAGTTAGATGTTACATTTTCCCAGAGCAAACAAATGTTTTCAGAGATAACAGATTTTACATTGGCAATAATCCCTCAAGAAAGAACAAAAGTAAAGTCTCTCATAAAACAATATTCCCTTCTCCCAGCTTCTTGAACAGCTCTGCTTCGAAGTTAGAAGATGCAGTACACTGAAAGTAAAAGCTACTATAGTTTCAGGAGGAATACATAATAATTTATTAGAAAATAAACTTTTCCTGCCCCAAAACGTCTCTTAATAAGGTTGCACTTGCTAACATAGGGCTGGAGCCTGGAGCAAGGCCACTTTCTCCAGAAAAAAAAAAAATCAGCTGTGATATATCTAAAACTATGTAAAACCAGCTTTATTAATCAGCGAAGCAATGAAATACAAAGCTTCAGCATGTGATAATTACCAACTTAAAACCAACAGCTAAGATATTAACTTCAGAGAATCATAAAAAAATGTAAAAAATATAAAAAAAATAATTTTTAAATGTGAAATAATCTATTATATCAGTGATTACAAGTATGTGTGTAAGGGTCTCTAAGGGTCCATCAGATTCTAGCAACCCACGGTCTGCAGTTTGTATAGTTATCCTAACCCCGTTACTACTGGGGCATCTTGGTCCATACGGTTGTTCCACGCTATCCGCCTCTTTGGGAGGATTTCCCAGGTGGAGGATAGGGGGACCTGGACCCGCCCTCTCTCATGGGTTCCAGCCCAGGGCCCTAAGGACCCACGCCTTCTGGGTTTGGTCCAACCGGTGGGACTGCAAACAATGGGCCCTGCCCTGGGCTGCTGCCTATCCCCACTGACCTAGCTCAGACTTCCTTTGCTAGTTTCTCTGCTCCCATACGCTCTCCACCTCCTCGCCTCCCCCTCACGTGTTCTTCTCCTCCCTTTGTACTACCCGCCACAGCACTCCCCCGCTCACTCTTCCCTCTTGACGTGCTTCCGCCTTTCTGTCACCCTTAAGCCCTGCCCCCGCTGTGCCCACATGCCCTCCCCCCAGTGTTGCTTAGGGACATCCTTCTCCCTCCCTGCTCTTCAGTAGCACCGCCGCTCAGCTGGGCCACAGCATGGGAACATGCTGCGCAGGCAGGGGCCATGCACCAGGCTCCCCATGTAGCATGGGAACCAGAGCAACGGGAGTGCAGGGCAGTCTCGCGCTGTCTGGGTGGGGCATAGTCAGCCTGGCTCAGTGTGTCAATTTTAAAAAATGACATTTAATGCCAAAGTTAAAATTTAGCCTGTCAAAATGGTCATAAAAACACTTCACATATCAACCAGTACATCTTTCATTAACAGAAGTCAACCTCTTGGCTTCTGGCCCAACTGTCTCACACTGATTCACATACTTCACATTTCATGCCCTAAGCAGACAATAAGCTACATACAGATAGTTAAACTAACCAAGAAACGAGACACATATGTGGCTTGTCTACCAAAATAAGTTCCTTTTCAATACTTTCATGGTGACTTTCCTCAGTCTATGGGTATGCCTACACAGCAGAGCAAAAGTCAAATTAAGATATGCAAGTTCAGCTACGTTAATTGTGTAGCTGAAGTCATAATAGCTTAATTTGGCTTTTGGAGCTGTGTACACAGCAGGAAGTTGAAAGAAGAACACTTTTCCTCCGACTTCCCTTACTCTTCATGAAATGAGGGTTACAGGAGTCGGCGTAAGAAGCCCATCAGCTCAACATTAATTCAAAATAAGGCCCTGCTATGTAGACGTGCATTTTGTTATTTCAAAATAACATCAGTTATTCCAAAATAGCACTGCTGTGTAGAAGTACCCCATGTTTGTGTCTAGACTGGCCAGTTTTTCCGGAAAATCAGCCGCTTTTCTGGAAAAACTTGCCAATTGTCTACACTGGCCGCTTGAATTTCCACAAAAGCACTGACTTCCTACTGTAAGAAATCAGTGCTTCTTGCGGAAATACTATTCTGCTCCCATTCAGGCAAAAGTCCCTTTTGCGCAAAGCTTTTGCACAAAAGGGCCAGTGTAGACAGCTCAGATTTGTTTTCCGCAAAAAAGCCCCAATCGCAAAAATGGCAATCGGGGCTTTTTTGTGGAAAAGCGCGTCTAGATTGGCATGGACGCTTTTCCGCAAAAAGTGCTTTTGCAGAAAAGGGTCCGTGCCAATCAATACGCTCTGTTCCAAAAATGCTTTTAACGGAAAACTTTTCCATTAAAAGCATTTCCGGAAAATCATGCCAATCTAGACGCAGCCTATATGTTTAGAATGTTTAGAAGGAATTTATTGAACTCAGATTAAGAGGAGATTTATCATTGGAAAGTCACAGGAAATGTGATGCCACCACTCAACTGTCCCAGACTTTGGTGATGTTCCAAACCAAATGACTATCTGCTTGTACAGAATAGGAATGCCTTTCCTCCCATTTAAATGCAAACACCTCTAAGACTTATGGAAAGTTCAGTGCAATAATAAAACAAGAAAATCAAGGAGTTCTGTGACACCTTAAAAACTAAAGACTAACAAATGCTCATATAAATGTGTTAGTCTTTAAAGTGCCACAGGACTCCTTGTTGTATTTGCTGAAATAAACGGAAATGGAATGTGCACTAGCAGACTGGAGGAAACAGTTAAGTTATGCAGTGTCTTCACTAAGTACTATTTCACTTTATTAGCTCTCTACAACGAGAGTGCCTATGCAGAAAACAAATAAGGGTAGTTCAGAAGTGATACACACAGATAAGATTTAACATTATCAATATCCAGATTTAATTAAGGATATCTGTTAATATTCATTATTGGCTGCGTCTACACTGACATGATTTTGCGCAAATACTTTTAACGGAAAAACTCTTCCGTTAAAAGTATTTGTGCAAGAGAGTGTCTATACTGGCATGTGCCTTTGCACAAAAGATTTGCTTTTGCACAAAAGCATCTGTGCCAGTGTAGATGCTCTCTTGCGCAAGAAAGCTCCGATGGCCATTTTAGCCATCGGGCTTTCTTGCGCAAGAAATTGATGTTACCTGTCTACACTGGCCTCTTGCACAAGAACACTTGCGCAAGAGGACTTATCTCTGAGTGGGAGCATCAGAGTATTTGCGCAAGAAGCACTGATTTTGTACATTACAACGTCAGTGTTCTTGTGCAAATACTTGCGGCCAGTGTAGACAGGCAGCAAGATTTTGCACCAAAGCAGCTGCTTTTGCACAAAATCTTGCCAATGTAGACACAGCCATTAAGTTTCAATGGAAAACTATTTCTTTCCCTCCATGGTGACAAGTATCAGAGGAGTAGCTGTGTTTGTTAGTCTGAATCTGCATAAACAACGAGAAGTCCTGTGGCACCTTATAGACTAACAGATTTATTGGAACATAAGCTTTTTTGGGCAAAGACCCACTTCATCAGATGAATTTCCACTACATGAATCTGATGAAGTGGGTCTTTGCCCACGAAAGTTTATGCTCCAATAAATCTGTTAGTCTATAAGGTACCACAGGACATCTCGTTGTTTATTTCTTCCCCCAATGACCACACAAAGAACAAAAATATTTCCTCTGCGTATATGAAGTGTGTCTCGTTATATTTTGTAACAAATCAAACTTTAAAATATGCAAAAGGTTATTACTACTATCATTTGCAGGTGAAGTGATGCAGTTAATATTTCAAATAGACTTGAGATGACCTGAAGCTTGTTGTAATCTAAGTTTTTATTTTTCCATTTTTCATTTTACTTTGACCCTGAGTCTAAGACATGCGCACATGGTACCATTAAATTTATAAAATATTATGCTCATTTTTTGGCTGAGTAACAATGTGCATAAAGCTATAAAAATTGAATTAAGACAAATTTGAAATGCTCTTTGTTTTTGAGTTGTTTTAATTTCCATTTTTCATGTTTTTTCCAGAGGCTGGTTTTAGTCTATTACATAGAGTACCTGTCTGTTTCTTGCCCTGTCAATCATTTGTCCCTATATTTTACTGTTCATTGATGCTTGTAAATGTTAAGGCTTTGTATTC